CTTCGGGAGCTGCTTTTGCAGCTCTGCCTGTCATCAAAGCTGTGGAATAAATATCCCTGTGGAATGGAGACAGTTCCCAGAGCTGAAGGGACCTGGAAAAGTCCTGGTTAACTTGGCAAATTGCTCTGGGGCCTTTGCTCAGGGACTTAGAAATATCATTTTCCTGGTTTAGTATTGTCAAAGTGAATAAACCCAGCAGAATCCCGGCATTTCCTGGGATTTCCAACAGCCCTGTGTGTCCCTCCTGAGAGATTCCCTCAGAGTGCTCAAGAATCCTAAAAGTGGAAAACAAGAGGAGAAAAAACCTGCTTTTGGTCAAGTCGTGTATTTTCCCAACGGCAATAACATCAATAAGTGGATCATTAATTTAATTGCCACGAGGCTCGATCCTGCCCAGTTCAGCTCCAGCTCTGGAAAACGTCCCTCTCCCTCCTTTTTTACAATCCCTTTTAGGCACTGGAAGGAGGCTCTAAGGTCTCCCTGGAGCCTTCCCTTCTCCAGGGTGAGCGTTGTAGCTGGTCCTCTTCACATCAGTCTGAGGATAAATCCAACTAAGGCACTATTTTGGATGGTTTTATCCCTCAGTTAATACACCCCGGGAATCAGCATCGCTTTATCCAGAGGCTCCAGGGAGCTGAGCACCCGAAATTCCCCTTTTCCAGCCGGAGCCAGCCAGTTTTCACTCCGGGGGCTCCTTTCAAGTAAGAACTAAAGACGAAAAGAGAGTTTGCAAAGGTTTGAGCGTGAAACCACGGCATGGTTTGGGGTGGGAGGGACCCGGAGGATTTTTTCCACTCCTGCTGTCGGGGTGGGAGCCTGAGCTGGAGGTTGAGTGGTGAGGTCCCAGTTCCAGCTGTTGGTGGATATTTAGCTCCACCTACGGGCCCCTCCAGGGAGCTCTGGAAATCCTTGGGATGGACCCATTCAGTCGCGTTTGGAGGCTCTAATTCCACAATCAGCAAGGTTGGAGGAGACCTGCAGGATCAGCCCTAATCCACGTCCCCAAGGGCCACATCCAGACCCCTCTGGGACACTCCCACACACAGGGACTCCACCACCTCCCTGGGACACTCATTGCAAGGCCTGACCACTCCTGCAGGGACAAATTGTTTCTGCTCTCTGCTCTGAACCTGCCCTGGGGCACTTGGAGGCCATTTCCTCTCCTCCTTTCCCTTG